CGACAAAGCTGGGACAATATTCTACCAGTTGGCTTGTACATTTCCATCAAAAACCATCGAACCTCAAGTTTAGACTGTTCGAGGAAAGTGGGCCGGCAATGCCTTACACGCGACAGCGCTCCATTGAGCAATGCCAGCGCTGCTGGGGATTCCACCCCACGCGAATTTGCACTAAAAGCCAACGCTGTGGATGCTGTTCGGGTGTACACGAGACTTCAGAGTGTCAGGTCAAAATTCCTAAATGCTCTAACTGCGCGGGTCCTCATGAATCCTATGAGCTTAAATGCATGGCTAGGCCCAGGCGCCAACAAGGAACTATTGTACCTCGCACACCATCAGAGTTGCGCATCATCCGCGAGCGTGGACATCGTGACTTTAATGCCGCTCGAGCATATTTAGAGAGGAAGTGCAAGGCTGTAGAAGTCATCTCTGCCCCAGAAGCATTTATGCAAGGTTAATGTTAGAGAACCGAATCTCGAACATACCCGAAGAAATCAAAAGCACTCTTCTATTTCACCAAGTGAACGTGGGAAAGGGTGGAGAAAATATGGACATAGCCTTGCAACAAGCATAGGAAGTAGGAGCGCACGTTGTAATGGTACAAGAGCCATGGACGATGCAAAAAGACGGAAGCTTTATCAGTAAAATTCACACTGGCTTCGATAGCCACAGCCCAACCGGCGAGAGAAGAGCTCGGCCTCGGACGATAACTTTCATCCGCAAAGGCCTGCAAAATTTACAGATAACCTCATCCTCAGGCCAAACAGCTTACTACTGTTTTTTGCAGGTTTGTGGGGTTACATTCGTAAATGTTTACTGCGCGCCTGGCCTGAGTGGCACTCTAGATCTACTACTACTCTGGAAACCTTCGGGACCTACAGTGGTTGGAGGAGATTTCAACTCAGCATCAAGGCACTGGCAACCGCAAACCTCACGTCAGTACGGTAATGGTGACCAGATAATGGAATGGGCAAATTCTCACGACATGCATCTAGCAACCAGAGCCGGGGCTCCAACACATCGGAGCGGAAACGCACTAGATCTAGTGTGGAGCAATATCCCAGCAATAGCGTCAGTGTCAACAGAGATAAACTGTACTTCAGATCATATGACCATCGTAGGATCCACTCAGACAACCAAAATGTCGAATCCTTCAAGTATTTTGCAAGGACTGTATGTGAGCGACCAGAGCCTTGGAAAATTCTCCCAGTACGTCAAACCCTGGATGAAGCTAGGGCCGTTGGAAAATGTTCGAGATATAGAGCTCTAAATTTCTACGTTCCTAGAGACACTTGATGATGCTCGCAACGCAGTAGGACTTACAGCACCAAAAGTGTTGGAAATTCTGACTCTCGAATTTAGGACTCAACCACTACCTGTTTCGTCTCAGGTTCCCGACAAGATCGACTCTCTCCACACATGTCACGAGTGCGCTAATCGTGCCTACTGTTGCATTTACAATTGGATATTTACGTACTGCAGTGTACCTTGGATCATCATGGTAGATGAGAGGTGGCTGGTCATCACTAGGTTTGACAGGCACATGAGACTAGTAGGAATTTCTCCCTTAATATGTATATATAAGTCCAATGTTCACATAGTTGTAAAACATTAAGTCTTCTTTACTTCATCATATTTATCCATATAATATCGTACAGAGTATATTTTCCAACAGTTTGTCTGTGAGACAGGTCTTCTTGGTAATGGGATAGCAGGTGGGTCAGGTAGCCTGGCTGCTTTTCGGGCCACTGTAACCCGGGCGAAGTGTTCTCTGAAGGACTACCAGATAGAGCACTACAGTGTACGACAGGAGCACTTTTTGCCTTGTGTGTCACTGGTTTTGAAGAGATTGATGGGGGGTTCGGGACCTTACTAGTGGTCTCATAATCTTCCACTGAGCTAGTTGCAAAATGGGTCACGATGGGCGCGATATTTGCAATTAAAGACGCCAGAAATGTTGACGCGTTTGAGTCCGCCTTGGTTTTAGCCGAGGTGTCGATAAGTTCTAGGAAATCTTGGGCAAGGCCAGGTCTTTCCTTTCTATCGTGTTCTGCCTCCTACATTGCATTCGCAATGCCTAGCAGGCTTGGATGGAGTTGCCCTCCGGGATTAGAAGGCGTTTATGATGACGATGCAACAGCGGGTGCCATTGGATCGGATGATGGGTCTTTTGGTGGTTGATTTTAATGCAATGATAAAGTGAAAAAATGGATCAGAGTGTGATGAATTCACCACGTGGTCGGATCTTCTTGTCTGCAATGTTCAAATTGGACGATGTATTAAGACTGATGTTAAGTTTCAAGGGCTGCTTTGTTTGTTCATTTACGTGCTAGGAATAGTGATTCCCATTGCACTCCCCCCGGAGCTTAAGCACGGGTGGGTCCGGGCTGGATCAGGTTAACTACCATTAAGTACATCTACCTCGTCCCATCTAAATGACCGGACCATCTCAGACTTCACCCATGTGTTGGATCATGTCATTTCCAACCGTCCAAAGAACCCCCTTTTGCCGCGCCGAAGCGCAAATTCCTCCTCAGCCTCGGCCACCAAGCGCCCGAGCCCTTGACACCTTGGCCACCTATAACTTTTTCCCTCTATTCATTCCCAGCTTTGACTCACATCAGCATCTCCTCATCTCATCCAGGGGTCATTTTCTTCATTGGAGGCCTCATCCAGTCGCCCACCAAGGCCTCCTCAGTTTGTATCTTCTTTAGTTCCTTCATACAGCATCCTTCTATCCTTCAGCCAGCCTCGTCATCCCAAAAACTTTGTAGAATGTCCACCCCTCTGGCCTTGCCCCGTCGCTGCCGTTACCCTGACGGTGGAGGTCGAAAATGCGAATAAGAGCTCAAGACCAAGGCACCGGTGCCCCAGCTTTTGTCGAACGCTCTAGTTGGTGTGCCGGCGAAATTTCGTACGTATTTCGTCGGTGGCGATTCGTCGTAGACCGAGTTGTTGGTGCCCTTGGCCGAGGTGAGGACGCATTTAAGGCCAGTATTTCGACCGTACCTTCACAGCGGCTGGCAGTTGCGTAGGATCGGACATCTTCTTGCTTCTTTATTGGCGATTTAGCTTTTGGAGGTATGGGATTGCTTAGGTAGGTGGTAAGATGTTTCTTGAGAGGGCCGCGAGATGAGTTTGGCTGGGAATAATTTTCCAGAGAAATAGAAAATAAGATTTTGAAGGTGGTGGTTGTTGTACTACGAACATCAGACAGGTTATAGGCTGTCTACGGTTCGTAGCTGGGGTGTAGATGGTTGATTTCGTTGAGTTGTGCAGTGGTGAAATCTCTGCGGGTCGGATTTTCGACCAAAAATGAGCCAACACCACTCCTCCCGATCGCCAACTCGACGAAAACTCTCAAATTCACCCTTTTTCGTGACTGATCTCGGCTCTGGGAGAATATTTCACACCCAGGTTCGTAGAGGACACCACTGACAGGTGTTCAGCCCTCGTCCTCCCATTGTCTCGCAGGGGTTGGGTCTAGGGCTACTTGTCTTAAATTGCATTAGCTTCTCCGGCTTTTTAAGGCCGACAAGTTACCGGTCCGGCCCGTGTAATTAGATCATCCGACTTCTGCGCTTACTACACAACAAGTCTCAAATTGATGCACTTGACTTGATATTTCTTCACCTGCAATGACGTCTCAATTCATAGGACTTGAAACGATATTGAATCCTGGCTACTCGTGTCGACACAGGGGATGCAGGCTGACTGACTGAGACTTAATCCCAGCACAATGGTCTGAGAATACCGTTAGAGCACACATGTCTTCCCAAAATGTTAGAGAGATACGAACTGTGCAAGTACGCTGTTTACGATACATTGTAAGTACAGTAAAATCTTGAATAATTTAGTAGCCAGCTCATCTGGCTACCTCTCCATTGGCAGCATAGAATAGTCCGAGTAGTAGTAAATTCAAGACGTAATGTAGATTTCCATCACTAAACCTCAGGGGTATTTTGGTGTCCTTTGCTTGGGGTGGATGGGGGAAAGATAGTACCCTTAGACTGATGATTGCCTCGTCGCTCGCAGTCGTGATTAACCCTTTTGAGGCAGTGGCTCTGAACTCGAAGGATTTTCAAAATTTAGCATTACTTGAAAGTTTTAACGGAGGGCTGCGACTTTACTTGTGGGGCAAGAGGCATAGAATATACACTACACATAACAGTGTCGGTACCATTACTAGTTACGCATTCTGATTTCTGTCTGACTAGGTTGTACACGTAAACATTCGCGTTGAACAGGAGAGTTCGTCCCATTTCATGATTAGACCCACGAGTCGATGCCAGTGGGAAATTTTAGTTGGGATCAAATTAATGATGGCTCGTCAATAACACATCTTGTACTTGAGTACCCATGTTATCTTCCTCACATTCGTCAAAGCTTAGGATAGTGCATTGGAATGATAAACTGCCAGGACGTTTTCCTATTGATGACTCATGAGAATACGAGAAAATATGTCTAAAAATGAATTCGATTTCGATATCGATTTCTGTTAACGCATAGGGGTTCGTAGATACGTATTTGAAGCGATAGGCTCCAGCCACACTTAAGATGTAATGATAGCGTTTTATCTTATCATTTTATCAAAGTATCATCGCCACTCATTCGCCAAGTCCTGCCCGTCGTATTTCGAACTTTCTGACCCGACATAGCCAGGACCTTAGCCACACTATTGGGCAACAGTGGCTTGTTCAATCATTGATAGAGTATACATCCAAAACTCTCTTTGTCTGAATCAAAAATATACCCAAGCTACCATTACTCCTACAAAATGACCCCACTAGTCCCTGGTTTGGTCTCTTCACTGGAGAATAAGAGACCCGAGTATAAGAATAATTGGTTATCCTTCTATTTTCAACCAATTGATCCTTTCGTGCCGAAAGTTCTTAAACCCTTATTACTAAATACAGCATAATAAATATTAATCAATAACCTATCCAATAACCTATCCAATAACTCTCTTGCTAGTCAAGTCTTGACAAAAAACTTAAAAAATGAATTCCCGATTAATGCTTGCTGGTCTTGCTGCTATTCATCTTGCTGCTGGTTACGGAACATCTTTCAGGCAATTCAAGGTAGCCAGAGCTGTCCAAAATATACAAGGTGATAACACCATCCCTAACAGTAAACCTATAACCTATCCAATCTACCGTGTTGTATCATGGAGCTAAGACTGCTACAGCGAGTGGTTCTGACATATGCGGTGGCACTGTCCGCGGTTCAAATGATGTCAAATCTTTACTTTTTATAAGAGATGGCACTTCTGCCTGTAACAATTCCGAAAACACCGAAAATACCGACAATATGGACATTATTGATGCAACCAACCATGACAAGCAGACACTTCAGGTTTCTAAGCCTGTTGCCGATCCCGATAATATGTCGATTATGGCAGCTAGTCATGTGATTATGATGACAGTCAAGGGCAACGAAAACGGAGTCGGCTCATATACATGCATGATTGATTCGACTGGTACCGGCGCGGGGATCTGGACTGAAATGGAAGTAAAATCCGATTCTGCAGATAAAATCTCTCCGGATAGAGTAGCTGATGTTGTAAGTATTCGAGTCGGAATAGATGCAGGATTTAAGCTGATAGAATCGTTCTAGAAAATTCAAGCTGTTATTGATCCCAATCAGACGTGTACTGGAAGGCTTGATGATAGGGAGAATGTATGCATGGTCAAGTGTAATGATGCTGCCACTCCTGGGACTATTGAGAAATCTGTTCTTGTGCAACTATTAGACATGGATAATACTCCCACGCCGACTGACCCAAACAGTGATATTCAGCCTCGGGCTTCAGCGGTTATTCATCATTAAAGGTTGAATGCAGCGGTGGCGGTATCTATGGTTGCAATAGCAGTACTGCCAATCAACAAGCCAGAGGCTAACAAATGAAGCAATTTTTTGAATTTTTAGTACCTAAAAAGGAATCTATTATACATATTTTTAGAGTGTCATATGATTTAATATTTGTTTCTCATTTTTTATCTATTCAAGTAGAAGAATTCAAGTTCTTCCGGCTAAAATATGTGGAATTTATTAATCTCCGCTATCTTATCTTTTGCAGGAACCTGAAAGGACCTCGTATGGTACGGCAACGCAAATTTGTGGTGAGGATAATGTTTTTCGCGATTACTTGTAACGGACGAGTTATCATTGGTTCTAGTGGTATGTCTCCAAAATTCCGAGCATTATTGAATGGCCTATTCAGGTAGGGTAGTATGGAGTGATGCCGTGTTCACACAGGCGAGTGATCGATGGTCTAACGACATATGAAACATTAGGAGATGTTGTAACAATTTGCAATGGAATCGAGGCCTAAGATTCAAAAGAATCGCATTGAACGGCCGAAAAAGTTGAATAAGTGACCCTGAAAGAGTAGAAAATTGGAAGACTCATTATCTAATATATTCTTATCTTAGGGCTTCATCGCGAGCAAAGATTGTAGGGGATTGAGGGAGAGGTGAAAGATGCCGGCCAAACCCAAGCGAGATGACCCATAGACTGCATGCAACACTTTGTACATGGCTATTACTAGATGCTTCTATAGTACATCATATCGGACTGTCGTTTAAAAGCTGAATCTGGACAGCTTTGACATATATCGCACTCGAGACGGGAGAAGGAGATGTGTGTTCATTTTATTACTTGAGTCTATGACTATCTAGCACATTGGGCTCCTCTCTGACCCAGGCCACTATCGCCACTTCTTTTCCTCTTATAAATTGCCATTTTAGTTCAAGATGGGAAAGGAAAAAGATTCGGAAATATCGACGATATTGCATCCCTCGGAACAGGACACACTGCCTCTGAAGCTGTCTCATCGGCTCAGATAGAAGTATATAAACTCTTTCAGCTGACAGATGATCACAAGATCAACTTTGATTAGGTCAAGTCTGAGCTTTTAATAATAGGTGGCGGACCAAGAAAAAAGTTGGACACGTCAGGTCTTGCAATCCAGGTGAAAGGTCTCAATATCTCCCCATCCCTACACGTGAGATAGCTTGGAGTATGGCTTGACTCCCAGCTTAAATTTAAGCAGCACGTGCAAGAATGGCGCGGGAAAGCACAGCGTGTAACACAGTTCATATGGCGTATTAATATGGTTCAGCGGGGCATAGCACCAGGACCAATGGTTAAAGCTGTTCACACCTGTGTCCTAAGTACGGCACTGTATGGAGCGGAGGCATGGTGGCCTGGCCTGGCCTAGCCTGGCCTAGCCCGAATTACCACGCAGCGAGACAAGAAATTTGGCACCGGAGTTGGCTGGCATACAGATCTTTTGGACAGAACAATTTTAAAGGCAGTCAGCGCGGCACTACCCCAAACTCGGGTCTCCGAAGAGAATCAGGTATTCCACCGGCAGCAATCCTTTTGGATCAGAGGCAAATTCGGTCAGCAGCGCGCATCCAACGACTGGACGTATGGCACCCTCTATCACTGAGGGCTAGGAAGCTACCAATCGATGTTATAAAGCGTCTCGAGCTCCGAACAGGCCAGAAAGCCCGACCTATCACTGCTCCAGAGCGCTATGTGACACGACTCCAGAACAGTGCTCTAAATGTATCAATCACTGAAGGCCCCGGAAAACTTCCGTACCCGTCAACCTACCTTACTGAGTTCTCACCGGGTCTCGGTAGGGAGAATGAGTCGGAGTACGCGAAGATATGGTTAGAAAATCTCCCCACAGAGACTGTACGTGCCTATTCAGATGGCTCTTCAAGCAACCCAGCGATATCTGCATGGGGATACGCCCTATATAAAGGAAGCAGGCTGATTGTTAGCGGTGCTGGAATAGTTCTAGGAACAGAAGTGTACGACGCAGAACTTGTGGGCGCTCAAAAAGCCTTGAATCAGCTGTGGCTCTAGCAGGAGGTTGCCCTATTAAGATGCTCCTCGATAACTCTGAAGCTGTCCGCTCCCTCAAAACAGGACGAAGTAATTCTTCCCAAGCTACAGTCGATAAAGTTACAACTCTCCTACAATCAAACGAGTTAGTAGAGATCCGATGGATCCCTGGCCATTCTGGTATTATGGGGAACATCCATGCGGAAAAAATGGCTAAATCAGCTTTGAATGATTTTCCATTTGTCTCAAATGCAACGTTCATCTCAAGAACAAATCAAGGACAAGTATACACTTTCGCAGCTCTAAATCGATATCTTAGAGACCGTGCTGAGGAGACCGACGATTCTTGGTGGGGAGAGAACAGACCCAGTCGATACAAAGACCTCGATTTGTTGATGAAGCGAAAATGACCACCAGAGCTCGCTCTTCCAAGATGGGCGTATCATCGTCTGATAGCGGCTAGGACTGGTCATGGAAATTTTGCCAAGTATCACAAGAGGTTCCATCATGAAGGAATAGACCTTATGTGCAAATGTGGCCGAGAAAGACGCCCGTGGAATTTCTCTGAATGCCGGACAGCGCTAAATGAATGGCGGAAAACAACAAAGGAAATAGCACCAAGTATATGGACGATGTTGGGAGAAAAGGGATGGACAGCTGTTTATAGATTCCATTCCGTAACAGGATGCTACGGGGTGCAAAGTAGGACTTGAATGACCGAGGGATTCTGGGATACATATACTACAGGAAACTGCTATGAGATAGCTGGCTAGGCGCAGGGCGTTAAGTCAAGGCAGCAAAAGTTTTTGATGAAATTTTTGTCTATATTAGATCATGTAAATTTCTGGCCACATAAAGCCAGCATCTGTGATGTTTGTGGGTCCCCCCGGGAACACGCACCCGCGTCAAGCCTCCTGGGTGTAGGGCTCTAGCTTGATACGTTAAATTATTCAATTCAATTCAATTCTGACCCAGGCCACACCTTGCATAGTGTCCCTGTCCTCTTTTATTACTTCAAACATCATTGATATATTGCACGTGATGAAAAGCCATTTTACTTCGTACTTTACCCTGTAATTCAGCCAACTTTTTCACGGAACCCTCAAACCCCAAAAATAACAAACAAAAACAATAGTAGTAGGGAAACTGCGTGCGCGGGAAAATGTATCAAATATCCCGCAGCCCCAGCCAGGCAAGGCCTAAATACCGGGACCACATGAGGAGCGCGTGTTCATCTATATCTCCTTTCTTTGTATTATTCAAGGCCATCTTGATCTGATCCATCATCTCCGTAAAGGGCGCTAGATACGCTCCAGAAAGCCATCGGATGGCTTTTCCTCCTTGATCAAGGGTTGGTGACGAGTAGGGCTCCGACCCTGACATCTGATCTGATCGTGGTTAGCTTCATGACAATGGTGATAGGGAGATGTGTTGTCAGGTGAAGCGATACAGACGGCGAAAGAGATTGGTATTGTGATGCAACTGTCACAGTTGGTATGAGTGAACTCATGTCCGAAGTACAAGTGCTACAGTCTCTTAAGGGTATCAATAGTACAATTATTAAAATGACTGGGTTTAAATCCCTGTGCATATTGCCTTAATTGGTATGGTTTCCATGCAGGCCCATGTCTAGTTACTTGACTAGTTATGCAAGCAAGTGGAACTATCCAATGATATTCCGTGAAAGTCTAAATTATGGAGATGGTTTTCAACTCCAAAGGAAATGTACAATGGTCCTCGTTCAAATTTTAAAATATAAAAAATTCAAGGGTTATTATCTAAAAATACACATCTATTTCAAAAATAATTGCTCTGTATTACAAAAGTCTGCATTGAAGTCCTCAATATAGCTTGCAACTAAAATGAAAGCGTGCTACATGTTTTGTATTATTTTGCTCCATCCTAACACTTTTTATACCCCGCATTTTCCTTTATCACCGCTATTCATCTTTCGCGCATGTTAACCATTCTTATCGGAGGCTTCTTCCGAGCAATTCATCTGCTGTAACCCATTTTTTTAAGGGCATTTGAAAGTCAATGCTCATTTCATCCCTGAGGGCTGAAGGGCACCATTGCTAGTTCCAAATAGCACATCTGTCGATTTTCAGGAGATTCCCGGACAAACGCCTCAAGCTCATCAACTTGTTCCGCGCCTGATTAAGGTGAGCATCCTTTGCGAGGAATGAGATTCTCAGTCTCTTGAGCACACGCAAGTTGCACTTGCCTTCTTGAGAAGCCAAGTTCGTCGGATATATGTTGTAATATCAAGCCAAGTCTTCTTAATGTTCCTATTTCAATACATTGATCGCGAGTTAGATGCTTGCAAACTTTAGTTTCTGAAGCAGACTTTTCGAGAGACATTGTTTGCCGGAATTGAGGATGAATTGATAGCGTTGTTGATGAAGGGTCGAGCAGTCCAAAATGTCGTTGGAAATGTGTCTCTCTAAGCGATTGTTGGAACAACACGATTGGACCATACTTCATGGCAAGCGGGGTTATAAGGAGAGACATACTAATCTGTTACGAGCTAGCCCAACTGCGCCTACAGGGCTAATCCCTTAAACATACCAGTTTCGAGGTTAACACTTTATATCCCAGAGGCACTGTAGTATGCAATACAAGGATTAAATAGTCCTAGCATGACTTATCGTGATCAGCGCTAAGAGCTGAGTGAGTGAGTGTTTATTTTCAAAAAAAGTCTGTAACTATGTAGGGACATGTAGGTATGTTCTGCCTATAGGCCGGGAGTATCTATACCTCGGGTAGTGTACTTCTTCCTTTGCCTCCCTCACGACTTCTTTCCAGCAATAATACCTCCACAGGTCTTTATTCGAGTACACACTAATAGGAGCCGTTATCCCGTCATTATCTCCCCTCTCCAGCCAAAGAAACGATGGCCATTTGCGGGTATGTAGCTGCAGGGAAAAGTCTCAAAACCCACTGGGTGCGGGGCTCTCCTATGACGAAGA